GTGGAAAGATAGATAGAGAAAAGGATAGATGCTTCCTTAAGCCTGAAGTGTTTCTGTTTTTCATTTTTGTTTCAACATTTTTATGTTGGCATAATTTACACAAAGCAATTTGGGATGCATGAATTATGTCGAAAAACTCATCAAATTTACTTTTAGGTCTTTTAGATCTATAACTCCAACTCTCACTACTACTACTACTACTACTACTAGAACTATTCGACTCTTCGTCATTCATGTCAAATTGTGAACTTATCACTTCGAGAACAATAAGGATTAGAGTAAAAACAATTAATACATTAGACTCGAAGCAAAGCTCAATTGGGAATGACTGGAATTAAAATAAATACTACTATTTTTAAGTACACGCCGAAAGACCGACAAAGGAAAGTTCGGCATCCTTTGATAAAATTAATGATTCTTCAGAAGATTAATAAAGTAGATGCGTTGCCAGATAAGTACAGTGTGCCTACGTAAAAATGAAATATAATTTTTAAATAAAATTGTGTATATTATGTTCTTCTTGTGATTGAATTAATCTACGTTAGTTAAATTAAACTGCCTTCACTCGTTTGAAATTCAAAATTCAAATATATTTTATTCAAGTAGGGATTAAAATACACTTTTGAATAGTCATATAATCACTGTTTTCCCCAATTTTTTCTTTTCCATGTCCAGGGGTTCTGATTCTACTGAGAAGAATCATGGAAGAAAGTAAGAAACTCAGTAGTTGCTCTTTTCAAAATATTTTTACAATAGTTCTATAATTATGTAAAGCGATAAGTCAAACATAAAATGTCAAATGTATATTTAGATACCAAATCGGTTTAGAAATTTCTAGTTAGTCCTGTGTAGTACGAGAGGTCAGTTCCAAGCATTTTTGTGTGACTTAAATTGAAAAGGTGAAAGATCTAACATTTCTTTTGGAATCTTATTATAAAAGCGTATATCGCTACCCAAGAACGCATTATATAGTTTGTGTAACCGGAAAGCGGGTATTGTGATTTTATTTTTATTTCTACTATTAAAATTGTGCAAATCACTATTATTAACATCAATTCGATGCAATCAATTTCTTTAAACGGTTCTCTAAGAGATACTCGGGCTCCTAAAAAGTACATAGATCTTATTTTACGCTTTTTATTTAATATGCACACTTTTTATATTATTCGATTAGCATTGTACAAAATGTTTACACGTTTCAAGTGTGTTGAAAGTGTCTACAATATTTATCAAATGGGTGACGACATATTCGAACACTTTGTGTTCAAAAACACACACTTCCAAAAATCTAGATTTGCAGTGAACTTATTGAACATGTTTATCTATTAGGTAATAATAATAATAGTAAGTAATTATTATAAACCCATATAGTTAATATTATAATAATTACTTACTAGATTAAATTATTATGGTATCTACCTATCCTTACCATTATCTAATTACAATATTCCTTGCGAGATCAGCATAATGTATTCGTGTCCATTCTGAGCACCCGGAAACTTATTTTATTCTTTGGAACATGTACTCTGTGGCGGCATTCAAACAGTGTCAAATGTAGTGCGTGCGGCGCGGCGGCGACGATTGAATGCGATATCAATAGAAGTCGCCGGCGCGTGTATCAATGACCTTGTACTTCCGAATAGCTGCAAAATTTCTTTGACAGGTCAGTATTCGACCTTTGATGATGCCGACAACAAGACGCCGCGCACTATCAAAGTGCCGATGGTCAAAATAGGGATGCACTGTTTTTTTATTTTAATAGATATTTCCATCCGCTATGTATGTTTATGGTATTGTTTGTAATGCGTATAAGTCCAATTTTCCAAATTTTTTTTATATATTTTTTGCATCTCACAGAGTCCCTAAGCGTATACCCGAACTCCTATACTCCCTGAAACGCCACTCATTCCTAACTGCAAGACGCAAGAGTCTCGCAGGCTTAGTCTTGTTCTTGCTCAAATCTTGCACAGTCAGTCTTGGTCTTGGGACTTGGGACAGATGGATTCCCAATTCAACCAGATAAAAGCTTTTAGGAAAAGGTCGAGGGTTATGGGGAAAGGAAAACAAACCAGCAAACGATGCGGCTCAATTTGAGACCGGAGCAATCCGTCAAGGTTTTCAAGTCGCCTCAGTCCAAGTCCAAGTGTCAAATTAGGCGGTCTTGTTCTTGGTCTTGGTCTTGCAAAAATGCAAAAAGACCGAAAGACCGATTTTGGGCAACACTAATTGAAATTAAAAAACAATAATTTCAATAGGGAAGATGGCTTGGTGCTAGCATTTGCTTGCGATCCCATAATTGATAAAATTAAATGCAAACTCAAGCATACTACTGCAAGACTTCAAGACACTATAAGTTATACAGCTGTAACCTCATTCTGGGTAGATCGGACCAAAAATTAATATTCAAAAGTTGAAGGTAGCCTTCGTTAACTATGACGTCGGGACGTCAAATACACCTGGCCCTGACCCTGGAAAGTGCCCGAAACGTCGGGAAATATTAGAGTTAAAATTAAACGCGATATAATCCGTAAAATTAGTTTTGTTCCATGTGTAATATTCGCGTAAATATAAATTATTATAGCTTGTATTTATGAAGCAATTGAGCGGAACCAAGGCTCCAAAGACTTCGTCAAATAAGTGTCTGTCGGGAACAGTCAATTGTCTAAAATAAAGACCGACTGTGGCAGCTTCATTTTCGGGAGATTGAAATTTTGAGTGAGATTGATTTTGGAGCCGTATGCAAATGTGAGTTATGACCCAGGAGCAACTTTCATCCGACACTGTTCTAATATTATCTCGGACCTCAGTCTGAGCGAGATTGAAATAACTCTCCAACACTTTAAAAACAGCAATGATGGAAACACAACAGAATCTTTTAAATCCGGTTCTTCGTGGATCAGAAATGAGGTTTTTTCTTTAAGAAACAACGAGAATGTTTTATTGAAGAATTACAGAGTGTTTAGTCTTCTGAACTGCATTTTTGTGCTATATTTGAGAGTCATTACGAATCGTCTCACACTCAAATGTGACAACTCCCAACCTCTCGAACAAGACGGTCTCCATAAGAATTTAGTACCATAAATCACATACATACTCTTCGGCTAATACAGAGGGCTAAACGTACAATCAGAATTTTTGTCTGATGTATGTGGGACATCAGAAAATCTTTGATTCCGTTCAAATTTGGGCGCTGTTACAATTCCTTCGATAGTGCCAGATTAACTGTTAGTATATCGAACTGCTGAAGTGTATTAGTAGCGAGTCTACGACGGCAATTCTAGATCCTTCTGGCTAGAACCACATCCAGTACACATATGTTATCTGTGATACCACTCTACGAAATAGAAGCAAACCAACAGCCAATAATCAAGTCCCAGTGCTGGGCACAGGCCTCCTCTAAATTCTTATTGTGAATAGTAGAGCAATTTAAATGAATGTTTATTACAGTCAAAAACATCACTTGAAATGTATACTTAGTCGAGTCATAAGTTCTGTCAAAACCTTATTATTTAAAAAATTTGAATACTGGCTAGATGAACTTCAACAATTTTAAAAATATAACGTTTGCTCTTGCCGAAAATAAAAAAGACATTCATTTTCAAATATGGAGTAGTCGAAGAAAGAAGCTAGAGTAGCGGTTATCGCGTTGCACCGCTGTGGTCACGCGCCAAAAGAGATTTTCAATATTCTACAAAAATTTAAAATAACTCTATGATTTGTTTATCGCACTATCAACCGATTCACTGAAGATTCAAGCTTCGAAGATCGTAAGAGGACCGGCTGACCTCGTACAGTTAGGACACCCGCGATCATCAAAGCTATGAAGGTGCGAATACAACGAAATCCTGTTCGTAAACAAAAAACCTTAGCTCTTCAGATGGGTCTAAGCATAAACACGGTCAAAAGAGTGATCAATGAAGACCTAGGACTACAAGCTTATCGTAAGAAGGCTGGTGATTTTTTGAACGAGCGTTTGAAAAAAATTAGGCTGGATAGATCCCGCGGCGGTACGCGAGAAAAAAATACCGCGAAATTTTGTTTTCGGATAAAAAATATTTCTATCATCGAATAAAGTTATAATAAACAAAATGATAAGGTGTATGGCCACAGCAGTGAAGAAGCCAGCACGCGTATTCCGAGGGTTCAACGAGCACATTATCCTTCGTCACTCATGGTTTGGCTTGGAGTCTCACATTCGGACTTAACTGAGGTGTTTTTCTGTGAAAAAGGTGTAAAAACCAGTGTCGAGGTGTAACAAAATACCGTCCATAAGAAACATAGTTGAACCTCTATCTCATATAATATTTAAAAACAGACATTGGATATTCCAACATGGCTGCACCAGCTCATAGGGCACGAAGCACGCAAAACTGGTTGACCGCCCATGGGATTGACTTTATCGGATATGAAGATTGACCCTCTTCTAGTCCAGATGTAAGCCTTCTGGATTATAAGATATGGCAACATTTGGAGCAGAAAATCTGCCCTAAACCTATTCAGAATTTGGAATCTCTCCGAGCATCTTTGGCTAAAGCAACGGCTTGATGCGATTGATGATTGGCCGCGTCGATTAGGGGAATGTATTCAAAATAGGGGACGGAATTTTGAATAATGTAAATAAAATTGTATTCTAAATTAAATTATCTTTCATTTCATATATAATTTCTATATAATTATCAAAAAGTGTATCATTAATTTTATAAAAAGCTTTTGGTAGAACTTATGACCTGACTGTGTAATTTTTTGGTGCTGGACAGTTAGTGTGCTATTTGTATTTTATGAATAAAATTTAACAATTAAGGTACTTAGTATCTCTTAAGTTATATTGTAGTGTAGTGCTCCCACGTTAATATACTTTAGTGTTAAGGTAGAATAATGAGGCAGTATAATTAAAGTTATAGTACCAACAACACGTCTCTCTTCATTGACACCTTTCATATATTACAATATAAAGAAAATTGACATTTACATATTTATTAAAACGACAATTGCTTTTTCAGGCATCTATATGCTGCATCTAAGAGGCAAAGAAATTCCAGAAAACACCGAGATAGACCAGCAGTTTCTAATGATGATCATGGAAAAGAATGAAGAAGTTGAAAATGCGGAAACAGAAGAAGAAATAATGAAATTGAACAAAGAAAACAAGGCAATAATCAAAGAACTTCAGAAAAAATTGTCTAAGGCATTTTTTGATGGTGATTTAAAGATTGTTACAAAGTTGTTAAGTCAAATGAAATATTACACAAGCATTGACAACCAGATACAGACTGTAATTCGTAACAAAGGCATTATTAGATAATGTCTAATGTAAAAAGAAAATTGTGCTATTTATTTTGTAAATATAAAATGTTGAATGTAGTTTTTAGTAAAATGTTGTTAACTGTTTATGATTTTATTAGAATATCTTATAAATAAAATAAATTTCTCTATATCAATCACATTATATACGTACATTTATAATGTGTGTTTATATAGCTATATATATGTAGGTATAAAGACTGCAACAAATATTCAAGTTATGTTTTGCATATAGTTTCTGCCCTCTTATCTTATGAGGAGGTGGTCCGTACCCATATCCTTTTACGTCGCTAAGTCACTTGAAATTTTGAAGCATGCTTGTGTTAATTGTTTTATTTTATAGAATAATGGTAACAAACGAACACACAGTCCACCTGATGGTAAGTGGATGCTGTGGCCTATAGACATCTACTTTTATTCTCGACTAAGAATCATAATACAGATGCGTTGTCACCCCTGAGTACTTAGATGAAATGCCTCCTTTCCACTAAAAAAGGTCTCCAGTTCTCTACACTCACCTTACGAAACACAGCAGCATTAAGCTGCTTTTTGACGCTGGTATTCTGTGAGAGCGTGGTTCTATCCCGGGTCGAGGCGAGCCATTCGTACTACAACCATAATATAGCTACAGCGTGGCTCTACCACGTAAAAAAACGTTGAACATCTTAAAATTGATTAAAACTACTTTTACGGATTTTATCGCGTTTATTTTTACTTTTTATTTACTTTTATTTTTAATTCCCGACGTTTCGGGCGCTTTCCAGCACCCGAGGTCACGGGGGACTGAGATGACTGACGTCCCGATGTCATTGTTAAACCCGGAGTACCTTCAGCTTTTTAATTATTGTTTATGGTCCGATCTATGCAAAATGAACTGACTATGTCCTGAGGTCTTGCAGTGGTATGCTTGGGTTTAGTTTTAATTTTATTGATTATAGGATCCCAAGCAGGTGGTAGTACCCAACCTCCTTCTCTATTGAAATTAGGATGTTTTTTAATTTCAATAGCCTCACGTATCATCCTTGGTAGGAATCGGTGTTCTTTCGCAAGGATTTGTGGTCTATCAAATCTGATGTAATGGTTGGGTCCGTCTAGGATATGATGACAAACTGCAGACTTTCCGGAACGTTGATGCTTCACATCAGCTATATGTTCTTTTACGCGGGTCCTAATTGATCTTTTTGTTTGTCCTATATAAGAGAGACCACATTCACAATCAAGCTTGTACACTCCTGCATCTTGTAGAGGAATATGACACTTGACGGATGGTAGGAACTGACTAATCTTCTTCGGCGGCTTGTAGAATGTTCTAATAGAAGCTCGCTTCAAGATATAGCCAATCTTGTCTGTGACACCTCTGACATATGGTAGTACAGCAGGCACACTCTCGACTGTGGCCGGCTTCACTCGGTCACTGTGACGTAGGCGCGGGACCCGAAGCTTGTTGTCGTGCAGAACTTGCTTGACGTGCTGAAGCTCGGCGGCCAGGTGTTTGCTGTCACAGATCCCTCGTGCTCTCTTTAAATATCGGTTTGTACAAACCGATATTTAAACGGTGAATCTCACCACCATCCTTCACAGTTAGCTACCGTGGGCAAATCTTTGTTACAGAGAGCAATCAATCATTTCTAAATCAGATCTTATAGTGCCAGTTGTCACTAAACAAAGGCCTCTTGTGTTTGCGCATACGCTATGTTCAAACAACAATAATTCTTAAAGTAATAAACATACAGCTGTAAACTTTACGTTTTTTTGTAGCTTTACTCAAAATCGACCTAGTAAAAAAATAAAAAGGGTAAAAGGGGTTGTTTTTGCAGTAATTTACAATAATTTGCCGATTAGCATAATTTATTTATAGTAAAATTTTTTTTCTTTAAAGTTACGAGTATGTGAACAATTTTTTTTGGTAATGGAGACGATAGGAAATATTGCTGTCCTTCGAATGAGCTAATTTTTTATTTCAATAAGACCAAAACTTTGAGAGATATGAATATTTTTGTAAACACGGTAGAGAATATCTCAAGAAAAAACAAAATGGCTGCCACATAGAGGGGAGGGGATTAGACCTCAGTGTGTAGTGTATTTTTGTATTAAATAGCTTTATTTTAAGTACCTAGAATATCGCTAGTCCGTGACTGGACACACTGTATATATAAGATAGATTTATTATTATTATACATTTTTTACCACTGCAATATATTTTAAATTATGTTCTGTACTATCGTTTCAATAGAAGGCAAGAGGAAATAACAGGCCAAATTTGTACTTGCGTTAGTAGATGTATATACAATATACATATACATATTACAGATAGTATATAGTAGATGCCTATAGAGCCGTAGTAGCTCAGATGGTTAGCGCTCGCTGTAAATTTCACATTACGCGATCAAACCTGGTTCGATCCCCGCCGGCACCAATGAAACTGTTTTTAAAAAAAAATCTTGGACATCAAGAATCCATGAGTATTAGCTAATGTTAGCACCTATGACACTCTACTCGACAACGTAGACAGTCCCCACTGTCGGCGATAGCGTTCAGAACATTATTGCGGCTGCCGCGAACTCACCATAAAAGTGAGTCGGTTTTCTTTCGCAGTATGGTCGGGAAACTGTTGAGGCCTGCGTGTGCGAACATGGTGGAGGCACTGCAGTATCGTAGCAGCCCATACAACGCTCTGAATGCCATATTGTATTGTATATGCAGGGCGTTATACTACTTTTGAATATGACTATTTTTGATATTTTGAGTTGACCAAAAAAGACTTCTCGATTAAAATGAAGTACAGTAGGATTTAAAAAGCGTAACCTTGATAGGTGTTGAACAACGAGCCAACATGTTCGCTCAGAACAACAATGCCTTCTGTCAGCATCATCCTTTTGGTCTTCTGTGGCAATGTGACCTAGGGAGGTAAGTACTTGAATTGGTGTACCCTAACAAATGGTGACCCATACAGCTTCATCGGAGGAACATAAACTGGTAGTCTATTTCCAGCCTTAAAGACTCTATTCACTCTTTTTGTTATTGTACACTAATCCATCAGCATCAGCATGTTTCTCACAAAAAGCTAGCATCCTTCTGATATCACTGACAAAGGGGGGGCAGCAGAACCGTATCGTCCGCGTAGCTAATATTATTGTGGCATCCGACCCTCAACTTGCTGAGCCCCTCAATCAGCTCACTGACGTACCTACAGGTTGAAAAGCTTTGTTAAGCTTAACCCTCCCTGCCTCACCCCGCATTCCAACCTATATGGCTCTGTACTCGAATACGAGTACTAATTTTCCCGCTTAACTTAATTGCCGTACCAATATTTAAATAGGAAGATCAACTCTGGAGGCTGTCCAATTATCTCCAGCTTCTTCCGCAGGATGCTGTACAAGATCAGATCGAATGCTTTAGACAAATCCATGAAATAAGCATACCCATAGCTGGCCGTCGCAAGATAATACCAGCACCGGTATTAATCGTTGATGTACCCGTGCTTCCGAAGTTACTTTTCACTGTCGACAGGTGTACGACAACGACGTGCGGAAAAAGCCAGATATCCTGGAGCGCGATAACTCCTATCTTTTAATCGATTAACAGTTGTACGACACCATATTTATACCTGTTCATCATTATTATTCCTTATTGATGTGTCCCCCATCTATTTTCTTTTTAAAATCAATAAACTTTCTAACTACAAACGCATAAACAGCTATAAATGACCAATAACTAAACCAATACTGATCTAATTAATAAAATCAGGCGTTACTTTGCGTAAATCCATTATCTTAAAGATCTTAAAATATAATCTACTTACATATCCGCGTAATAAAATAAAATGATGTGTCTTACCTAGTTTGAAGAGTACCTCCCGCCCTCCCTCAATTGCGTGCAATATCTACCCGTCACCACTAATCCCAGAACCAATACTACCAACATCAAAAGTGATGTTAGCGGTTAGCCACCGCAGAGTCTACTTCACTTGAGGATGCCTCGTGTAGTGGCGAAACGTGTCGTTATTATCACTGGTGGTGTATCTTTCCTAGTGTAGTGGTGTTGCAAGTAGTGATGCTGGGATTAGTGGTGACGGTGATACTGTACGCAATTTAGGGATAGCGGGGTATCTTCAAACTTTATTTCACTACGCGGATATAAGCAAATTAATTTTTATGGTCTTCAATACTAGACTTTATGTTCATGGTCGCCGGGAGGAAACAGATGCACTTGCACCGTCCGGCTCTTACTGCTCTTAAAACCTCAGAAATGAGAGTAGGTCTGTGGCCAGCCACTACTGTTATAGCTACTGCTATAAACTATATTAGCTACAAGCGATGAAGCGTGCTTGGATTTTCTCTGCGGTATAAAATCCGTAAAGGGAATGTACAGGCACGGTGCATTTTCTGAATCGCTGATCCTTCATTCGACTCCGAAGGGCCATTGAACAGGAACGGGGCGTTTTCTGAATGTTCACTGAGTTAATCCGGCGATGAAGGACCCAATTGAACAAGAACGTGGTTGTTCTGTTAGCCGTGTAGTGGCGGTTGAGAATATCCACTACCCCATATCTTCCCGTGGGTGTCGTAAGAGGCGACAGAGGGACACAGAAAGGAGATGGGCAGCAGCGTCTTCCTAATAACAACAATAACATAATAAAAAACTGCGGTTGCCAACCCGCTCGCCAAGCGTGGCAACTATGGCAAATATCCCCCCATGAGCAACGACACAAATAAACGGCCCCCAGTCCCCGGCGGCCCCGCAATTCCTGGCTACGGTGGCGACCATGGTAACGGCGGGGCAGGGGGTGCTAAGAATCTCCGGTGGAGGTTTGGTTGCCACCTACGACGACTCGACCTGGCAACGTATAACGCACGCACCCTGAGGACTGACAAGAAGATACTGGAGCTGGAAGAAGAGGTAGACAAGTTGCGCTGGCATATTATTGGATTATCTGAGGTCCGAAGAGAGGGGGGCACAGCACATTCCGATGAGGAGGTGGAGGAAATGTATGAGGATATT